GTTTCAAGGCCAGGCTGGATGAGGCCTTGAGCAACCTGATCTAGTGAGGAGGTGTCCCTGCCTATGGCAGGGAGGGTTGGGACTAGAAGATCTGTAAGGTCCATTCCAACCCTTAAATTCTATGATTCTGTGATCTAATTCAGAGAAGAGCCAAACACCCTTGCCCTGAGTGTTCATGTTCTGTGAGTTGCTGTGGTAGAGTGCCTTGCTTGAAGTTTTGCTGTAGAGACATTTGTATACTGTTGTACTTCGGTGTGAAGTTTTAGAAGTCAAGTCCTAGACTCTGAAAAGATAATTTATATACTAGCTACTACAGTCCTCAAACTGTTGTAGGATCCCATTTAAACAAAGTATTTCTATTTTAGTTGTAGGGGCTAGTATATATTAGGAAGCCAATAAATGTTTTGTAAGACGGTATACTAATTACTTTCCTTTGGAAGCTGAGATGTGATGTATAAATAAGAGTAAAATCTTGTTGATGCAATTGTTCACATAATTAAATACCATTTGAAGTAATGTATACAGACTTAAGCCAATTACACATAATAAACATCTTCAGTCATTTAAAGAAACCATAGCTATGAAGCTGTATTAGAAAGAGGTTTATCTACTTACATAGTCAAGTTAAAGTGATTAGTGCAAGCATATTTATTCCAGACTCTTTTCGTTGTGTAACTGAGTTAGACTCCTTACAATGAATTTGAAGACCAATATGTCTAATGTGCAAAAGCATCAGTAATTATAATTCTGAAATTTGAAAGGTTACTCTCATCTTGCTGCTGCTTAAGTATTCCAATTGAAAAATAAACTTACTGGCAGAAGACAGTTCTTATTTCTCTTCTGTGTATGTTATGCTAAAAGAATTTAAAATTGCTAGTATCCCTTCAGGTCAAAGAACTTGATAACTGCCAGCACATTACCCTTCAATCATTTGTGTTTGGGTTAAAGTGAGTTTGGGTTTGAACATGCACAGTTTTCGGAGGAATTCACCTGCTTTCACACTGACTGTTGTTGACTTCCATTCTTGTGGATGTAATTATGAAAGATTAAGTGTCCAATTAACTGCTTATTGTAATTGTTAATTTTGGAAAACAGTATTAAGTGTATTGTTGCTAACCTGCAGCTTTGATTATTGGTTATAGAGCAGCTTGTTGTGGGATCCTCTAGACGGCCAGTTGGATCATGGGAAAAGGATTATGATTCCTTTGTCCTTCCCCTTCTTGAAGACAAGCAACCATGTTACATATTATACAGATTAGACTCTCAGAATGCTCAAGGATATGAATGGATCTTCATTGCATGGTCACCTGATTACTCTCCTGTAAGTAGCAGTCATCAGAGACTTCGTGTTGTTAATGATTTTTCAATAGTGCCATTTGATCTGAATCCTAGATATGAAGGAAAAGGATTTGAGGAATGAAACACTTCCCTATCTTCCCCTCACATTCCCCAAGAAAACTGGAAAATGTTTCTTCAAACTGATTGAAGAGCAAATCAGTGGGTTAGATGGAGTGCAGCTGATCCAATGTATTTTTAGCCTGACTGGAGGACAATACAAATTTTTTTTGCCACATTTGTCTGTCTTACTGTCAGCATTTCATAAAAATTCATGGAAGGATATAGGACAGAAATCTCAATGGGTGTTATCATAGAGGGAAGGATTATAGTGTGAGCTAAAGCTGTTTATTCTGTTTGTCTTGCTGGCTGTCCAGCTGGCACTCGTGGATCTGTGGCGTGCCACAGAATGCACTGCTGCTTAGTAGTGAGAGAGCATGGGAGGGAACTGAGGTTAGATGTAAGGATTTCTAGGAGAAGCTAGGATACTGTGTACATGTTCTGGGAATGTGAGATAAGGGAAGACAAAGTAAAGCTATTCTAATAGTCCTACTTCTTCCACTAGCAGTTAGGAAACATTAAGATGTCAAGACTTGAAGTGTGTAGAAGAGATTTTGTGGAAAAGGTGAAGTATTGTGGAGAGGGTGCATGGTGGTGAAGTAAGGTGGGAAGATGGGACTGATGGGAGAGGAATAAGTGACTTTGTTAGACACAAGCTGATAGAGAACAAACGTAATTTTTCCACTCTATAGTTGAACCATAACAATCTGGAAATCACTATCAAATCAGAAATAATAATGAGTTGTTTCCAGTCTGCTCTTTCACTGTCTGTTGTATCCATTAGTACACAGACTAGTGACAGAAGATCTAAACAGTTTTGTTCTTTCCCATTTAAAATTAGTAAAGAACATGTTGACTTCACTTTCCCATTAATAAAAAAACCCTCATACTCTTACTAAAACTGCAATTCAGTTTTGCAATTACTTTGAGATAATAATGCATAGTGTCATGACCTCGTGAATTTAATAGCATGTCCAGAACTCTGCAAGTTCATAGTGCAGTTTCAAAACTTCATTAATGTACTTGGTATACCAAGATGCTGGATTCTCTGTGTACACCAAAGGAAAACAAAGAACCCAAACCAAAATAACACTTTTATTATCTTCTAGGTTCGTCAAAAAATGTTATATGCAGCAACCCGAGCAACACTTAAGAAGGAATTTGGAGGTGGCCATATTAAGGATGAAGTATTTGGAACAGTACAGGTAAGGTTTTCTTTTTAAAGACAGGATACTGACTTTAATTACTAAATATAGTAGCTGATGCTACTGGTATGAATTTGGGGTGTTTCTGCTCTTTTTGTTTAAGGAAATAAAGAGTTAAAAGCTATGGGTATTATTCCAGTGTTAAAGTGTATTTGATCTCATTTGAACAAGTAAGTATAGTTAATATCCTCAGGCTAAGAAGTCCTTGCTTCAAATGGTTATGAAGGCTAAATAATCTAAGAATAACAGGCACATCTCTTAATCTTCCTGCATGTATGTGAATCCTCTAAAAGCTGTAACACTAACTTCCAGGCCAGTTGTATGCACAATCCATTTTGGATATGTGGCTCTGAATCAGAAATGGGCTGAAAAACTTCATGTACACAGTCTTCATTAATGCTGACTTTAATTATTGAAGTAGTTGTGGACTGATTGTGGAAATGCTGCCCTTGGTAAAACTGGGTACAAGAATATTCCAGTGGCCTTTGTTGTACAGGAAGATGGACTGAATTTGCACATGCATCTGCACTTGTATTATGTTCAGATAAAATGCCTGTAAGCATATGGAAGGTAACTGCCTTTTGTTTCGCTGTGCAGAAAATCTTTGAGGAAAACTGCTATTATTAAAAAAAAAAAATAAATCAATATTGATATTGTGTTTTCAGGATGATGTTTCACTGAGTGGTTATAAAAAATATTTGATATCACAGTCCTCCCCTGCACCTCTGACTGCAGCAGAAGAGGAGCTTCGACAAATTAAGATTAACGAGGTACGTAGAATGTTTTTGAGCATGGGTGGGAAACAGGGTACAGAGTTGCAAATATATTGTAGGGGAATTTCTTCCTAGGATGAAAAAAGGCAGAAAATGGAATGTTTCAGAAAGTTTGACTGGATGAGAATATAAATTTATTTCTCAATGTGTTGGAACTGCAGCATGATGATGGCTGGAGTTGAAGTGATCTTGCTGAGTGTCGGAAGCGTAGAGCCTGAATCAGGGCCTGGCAACTGCACAGCTTAATTGTGGCAACTTGGGCTTTTCATGTGCTGCTTTGTGAAGGGTGACTGAGCAGTGGCACAGGTTGCCCAGGGAGATTATGGAATTTCCATCTTAGTGATAGTTAAAAGCTGTCTGAACAGAGAGCTGGGCAGCTGGCTCTAGGTAGCCTTGATTGAGCAGAGTGCTTGGATGAGGTGACCTTTGGAGATGTCTTCCAACCTCAGTCATTCTGTGATTGCCTGCATATGGTTCTTGTAGTGGCAGAAATTATAGAGAAAACATGGAATAGCAGCTCTTGTAGTGAATGATTGCCAGGAGTATTTCAGCAGCTTTATTCCTTAGAGGAAAGATACCTAGTGCACTTGTCTTTAAGACTGAGAGGAAGTGAAGAGAATTCCAATAAAAATAAAATAGAAAACCAAACCAAGTAGCTGCTCTTTTTAAGAGATTGATTTGCCTATGCTACAAATGCTTTATAGAAAAACCTCTAACAAATGCCTCTAACCAAACAATTTGATGATTGCCTGCTAGCTAATGACTGAAAGTTTCAGAGGATTCTTTTCTCACATTTTCCCTTCACTTGATCACCGTTTGTGTTCAGATATAAATTAAAATAGGTCATGTGCTGATCTTATGTGTTCTTTAGACTTTATTTTATTACTGTGGTATGTGTGTTTGAAGTATGACTTGTTTCTGCAGCTGGATACCAGGAGACCATCGTGTTAAATACAGCTCTGTATCTTCTCTTACCTCACTCTACTGTGCTTTTGATGCAACTTTGTTGTGCATTGATTTTTTTTTCCAGTCCTGGCTTCTGTTCGCAACTTTGTTGTGCATTGATTTTTTTTCCAGTCCTGTCTTCTGTTACTTTTCATGTCTGATTTTTAATTAATTCAATGTAGAAATGCATTCACCGTCATCAAACACTGTATTTTACTTGATTAGCTTTAAAAAAACCCCTCCAATGAATGTAAATTTCTGTGGGATCTATGATCAGTTCTGGTATTAGTATTATCTCTTACGCACTACATGTAATGTGTTTTAATAACTGATTCATTGCAGACTAGAACTTTATGTGCTGTTGTGAAACTTCAGCAGCAATATCTGTGCTTTTCAGGGATATGTAAACTGTAGATTGCTGCTGTTTTGGCTTTGCTTGAAACATCTTGCAATACATTAACTTAGGTAATTTTTCCTTCATTATTTCCACTATTACAAAGCCTGGAAGTAGACTTAGAAAACTAAAAGCTTTTTGATTTAAAAAAAAAGTTTTCCATATGTATATTCTTTCATAATTACCCTAAGACATATTTTAGCGGGTCAGACCAAAGGATCACTTACTCTGCTGTCAAGTCTTTGAGTGAACAGCAGCAGAAATCTAGGAAGGATGTAAGAGCAGGGTAGGAAGGGCATGATAATTGTCTTGAATACTCTTCTGGTGCCTCAACAAGGTGGGCATCTTCCTGAGGAAAAGCTGATGTCTTACTATATAGTTGTTCTTAATGGATTTTTTCATTCATCATCAAGTCTTGTTGTTTTTCTGAATACACATAAAATTTTTGTTGGCCACAGATCCTATGGCAACATATTCCAGAGCTTTACAAAGCACTATGTAAAGACTGACTAATTCCAATCTGCTAGTTTATTCTGATACCCCTACAGACTGTGTGGGGAAGGCAGAGAAAAGTCACTAAGTCAATCCTCTGTTTCCCTCACCCCTTTGATAAATCCAGCTGTATCCCAGAAAGCCAAACATATCCTGGGCTGCATCAAAAGCAGCATGGCCAGCAGGTCAGGGGAGGTGATTCTCTTCCTCTACTCTGCTCTGGTGAGATCACACCTGGAGCACTGCATCCAGCTCTGGAGTCCTCAGCACAGGAAAGACATGGACCTGTTACAAAGGGTCCAGAGAAGGGCCACAAAATTTATCATAGGGTTGGAACCCCTCTCCTATGAGGAAGGGCTGAGAGACTTTTGGTTGTTCAGCCTGCAGGAGAGAAGGCTCCAGGGGAATCTTACTGCAGCTTTTTAGTACTTAAAGGAGGCTTTTAAAAAAGAAGGGCACAGATTTTTTAGCAGGGCCTGTTGTGATAGAAACAATGGGTAATGGCTTTTAACTAAAAGAGAATAGGTTCAGACTAGGTATGAGCAAGTATTTTGTTATGATGTGTGGTGAGACGTGGGAACAGATTGCCCTGAGAGGCAGTAGATGCTCCATCCCTGGAAAACTTCAAGTTCAGGCTGGATGAGGCTCTGAAAAGGCTGAAAACAGATTGCCCTGAGAGGCAGTAGATGTTCCATCCCTGGAAACCTTCAAGTACAGGCTGGATGAGGCTCTGAAAAAGCTGATCTGTTTGAAGATGTCCCTGCTCATCTGCAGGGGAGTTGGACTAGATCACCTTTAAAGGTCCCTTCCAACCCAAACTATCCTATGATTCTGTATCCATGGACCTCTGCTGTATTGCTTAGCAATTACCTCTTCCAGGCTGAAGAGTGCTAATCTAGGTAGTTCTTCCTCCTAAAGAAGGCACTCCATACTTCTGATCCTTTTGCTTTTCTCTGCAGTTTTTTCCAGTTCTGCTATGTAATTTATGAGATGGAGGGATGGGGAATCCAGAAGTGCATGTGGTATTCAAGATGTTACTGATACCTACAGTGCGTAACGATGTGTTCTGTTCTCTACTCTTTTTTTAAACAGTTCATAACATTTCATTTGTGGGTGGGAGGTGTTGGTTTTTTTTCATTTTGCTTGGGGTTTTCTTGTGCCAAGACTAGCAACTGAGCTTTTATTTGCAGAGATACTCAAAATGATCTGCAAGGGCTTGCTCCTGAATGATAGTAGCTAGCTCAACCCCACTGCCATACAGGTAGTTACTTTACATTTATTCACAGGAAATTTCATCTGCCATTTTATCCACCACTCAGCAGCCATCGCTAACAAATCTTACAGTGTGAACATTTTAAGTGACTTAGGTAGTTTTGTTTTGCTTTGATGGTCTTGAAATATGTTGCAGTATGGGCAAGTAGGTTTTGTTCATTTTCTTAAATCTGAAGTTATGCTGGATTACTCTCTTCCCTTGCCTGTCCCCACGTTTTACGGCTCCTTTTTAATCTTGGGAGTTCTTTTCTACTTGTATTTCAATATGGTTTCTATAATATGATCTTTTATTATGGTTTATTATTTTTATGCTGCCTGTTTTACATTTATTAATCAGCCTTTTAGGCAGATATATTTTGCAAATATTTTTTTCTATAACCTTCATACATTTGTCAATCTTTATACAAAAGTAAGCTCTTCTTTAAAATGTGGAGTCTGATTCAGTGTTATCGCAAGTATCTTTGGTTTTTATTTTCTTATCAGTTTATTTCATGTTACATTAGCATCTCTTTTTAATTAAAGCTGAAAATCTTCTAGTTGATAGATCTGAGACCCACACTTCCCATTTGGTACACTTGTTTGACTTGTTGCTTCATAGGCAGTGTTAAATGCATTTGTGAAACTATACAAGGAGGTGAATATATTAAGAAATTAGTACTTGGACAGTAAGTTAAGACTAGAGAAAACTGGAGATCAGAACTCATTTTAAGGCAAACAGCATAAATAAAAAAATTCTTGGTAAATGGCTTTAAAGTAACTAGTTTTTTCTCTCAAACAAGTTGTGACTAATATAACTGGATTGTGAACAATTATCTCCCTTGTCCTGGATGTGTTTTTACTTTGTGTTAGACCTTCTAGAAGTAAAAAAGTAAGGTTTTGTTTGTTTGTTTTGTTTGCTTTGTTTTTGGAGTAGGCTTTTGGGGGGAGGGTGTTGAAACAGGAGGGAGGATAGTTGCTTTGATTTTCCTTCAAGAAGATCAGTTTGTCTTGTAATATGTAATTTCTGTCTTCCTCTGAAAATGTTGATGCCCTAGAAATCATATCTGTGTTTTGACCTAAAATTTTTCATGCCACAACAAAGTTTATAAGCAATATTGTCAGTTCAAAAGTATAACAGCATATGGAAATTGAGCTCTTTCCTCCTGGCTTATTGTATCTTTATATCAGAATTTAATTTAGAGCTTCTTCACTGACACTTGAACCAGTTTTCCCTCTGATGATTTTGTTGCTTTGCAAAGCAGAGCTGTTTCAGACATATGGAACTTTTCAGGTTAGCAAACAAACGTGACCTGTAAATTAAAACCTGCAGTTTGGTTGTTTATGGGGGTGATTTTTGGGGTGATTTATTCTTGAAATAGCTACTGCTAACTCTGTGTGTCACCCTATGCAATGCATTGTCAGTCATAGTATGAAACCAAACAATACTTGCAAAGGTTTCCATTTCTGTCTCCATTGACTTGTGTTCCAGGTACAGGCAGATGTTGGTGTAGATACCAAGCATCAGACATTGCAAGGAGTAGCATTCCCCATTGCTAAAGAAGCCATTCAGGCCTTGGAGAAATTGAAGCATAGGAAACTCAATTATGTACAACTGGCAAGTATAAAATATTTTAACTATTTCTTTTCATAATGAATGTGAAATAGATCACCTGCATGTTAAACACTGTACACTGATAAATTACTGTTCTGTATCAGATTCATTCAGGTTTTTTTCCATCCTGTTGTATTCTCTGGTTTGCTTTCTGTGTATTAACTCTGTTCATGTTTGCTTTGTTAATAGCAAATTGATATGAAAAATGAAACTATTATTTTGGCCAACACACTTGATACTGAACTTAAGGACTTGCCAAAAAGAATTCCAAAGGATGCTGCACGTTACCACTTTTTCCTGTATAAGCACACCCATGAAGGAGACTATTTGGAATCAATAGGTATGAGAAAATTTCTCAATATGAAAATTCATTGGCTTGTATCAAATATTTTGGGAATTTTGAGGCAGAGAGAAAGATGTCATAGAAGTAATCTGTCAGCATGACCATAGCTTTCAGAGCCATTTGGGGGTGAAACTCTTCTGAAGAGGAGTCCTTATGTTTAGAAAATAGTGAGCTATCTCTTTTAATTATAAACTCCCATAAATGTGAAAATACAAACATATTAGCCATTCTCTTACTTGCCAATTTGAAATGAAACACTTGCTGAAGAAAAAAGATCCAGAATGGCATTAAATTTTTTTCTTTTCAGTCTGCATAGTTGATTTGCAATGGCTGTCTGCTGCAAAGGATTTTATGATACAGCTTTTGATGGAGTGAAGTTATTGTCTGATTTGTAGTTTGTTGGTTCTTTTTCCTGCAGTTTTCATCTACTCTATGCCAGGGTATACCTGTAGTATACGAGAACGAATGCTCTACTCTAGTTGTAAAAGTCCACTGTTAGAAATCGTAGAGAGTCAGTTGTGGATGCAGATAATTAGAAAGGTAAGTGCACTGGGGTGTACAGGTATTTTCTCTGTTGCTCTGTTCCCTTCTTAATGTCAAACTGTAACTGTCAGTCACCACCCTCTTTAAACAATGAAAAGTGTTGTCTAATAATTGTGGATGAAGCTCCAGGGACAAAGTTAAGTCATGAAAGGCTTTATCTGTTTCATAATGTTTGCCCTTTCATATCTTGAACAAATACATCCTTGTGCATCAAGGAAGTGTTTGAGAGTACTTTGAAGGACTATTCAGAACTAACATGATATCTTGCTCAGAGCCCTGTTGTATTTTGGAACACAACACATTGCTGTTGTTGAACACTAAATTCCTTTAAAGCCAAGGTTATATAAGAATTTTCAAAATAATTTCAAGCTGCAGTTCTGGAACTTAAAACTGCTATCTTAGGAGTCCTTGATGGGGCAAAAAAGGATTTGCAAGTAAGCTGATCTTTTGACGCTGTATAGATTTTACTGCTATGCAAAAACTTGCTTCTCACCTCCACAGCAGAGACCATAGGAATGGTCCATTTGTGGAATATGTGACCTATGGTTACATTCCTAATGCTTTTGCTGAAGCGTGGCTTCTATGGGAATTAAGTTTACCTAAAAAATAGCAGAATTAATACTGACCATTTTACTGACATGACATGAATTAAGTAGATTATTGCTATGTGGTTTTATATGTAATTATTTCTTAGAAATGTCCTTTCTACAACAAAATCAATGCACCATGTGACTCCTGAAATTCCTGCAGACAGAAATTTCTGAAGCATGTACTTGCAAACAGCAAACCCATGGCTGGCAAGTTGATCAAGTGTTATGGTTGGCAGGGCATGAAGTGTTGAATGCTCAACAAAGCTGTGCCAAAGCATTTCTCTGATTTCTAAATTCCTGCAATTCAAAATAGTGGGGTTTGGCTTAAGCACACTATTTTCTTTCCATATGCTTAAATTTTAAAAACCAAAAGAACCCTCTGTTTTGTTCATTAAACTTATTTTAGCTTTCCCTGCTTTCCACTTGCTAAGTGACAGTAGCCTGCTAATCATATAAGTCAAGTCACACTTAATACTGGTAAGAGTATAGTGTAATGTCAGAAAAACTATCCAGGATTGCTCAGAGCTTAGGCACAAGTTTGAGCTTTTGATGCTAGACTTTGAACATTACTACACATTGGAACATTATTGGTTTTTAATACAGTATTTAGTTTCAGCTCAATTTCAAAATGCTTTTAAGTCTGACTTTAAGATGAGTATGATAAATGTTGTTTTTCTTCTTCCAGATTGAAATAGATAATGGTGATGAGTTAACTGCTGACTTTCTTTATGAAGAGGTTCATCCAAAACAACATGCTTACAAACAGAGTTTTGCTAAACCAAAAGGGCCTGCAGGGAAGAGGGGAATACGAAGACTGATCAGAGGTCCAGCAGAGACTGAAACACCTAGTGATTAGAAACTCTTGTTTGTATGTGTTATAAAGTATTACAGTAAGGAACAAAATTCCAGCATTTGGTAATGAACTGAAATCATTCCATTCATAGATGCTATGGGCGGAAAAAAAGGCTCTTTTTACTCTTGTCTTTTCTGACCTCAACACTTTTTATATTGTTACATGATTATATTTGTTGACCATGTTTATGACATGTAAAAGAGCTAATTATCTTAAAGCCAGAAGAGGAAAACTAAGCTAGTACCCCTTTATTTTAATTTAGAATCCATTATTTAATAGTTGTACATGTGATCAAACTTTGCAGACTTTAAGACTACGAAGCCCATGTATTCTGTGGGTAAGTTGCAGCTGTATTCTTATGTGCAGCCTATAAGACCTGTAAGACTTTCCATGTGAGAAGAGATGAAGGACTACATAGCATTGTCCCTGATAAATCTATTTTTCCTTGTAGTGCTTATGGATGATAGTACAGTAGATTTTCTTCTGATTTTGACAGGATGCATTGTTGGGTTTTGTTCTTTTATTTTTTTTGGTAATGGAAAAGTTAAACTAAAATCAGCTATCATTCAATTAATATAAGTGTTCAGGAATAGCTGGATGTTGTCCTATAGAAAAGCTTGGTCATTTAAAATTTATAACTAATTTCATGGAATTGTCTTTTTAAAAAATCTGGCATAAAACCACTACAGCTTTTCCAGACTTCTGTATCACTCGTAAGCCTTAAATATTAGGTACTGAATGACCAAGTAAAAGGTGATAAAAAGTGCATGAATTAGTATGCTCAGATTATGGAGCTGCTTTCAAAACAATATGCTGGAAGTATCTAATAAATAATTAATTATCTGTGCACTTTGGACCTAAAAATGTATAAGTTCAGTAAAAATTGAAATAAACTTGCTTTATAATGGCGAGTTATTGTATAAGTTCAGTAAAAATTGAAATAACTCGCCATTATAAAGCAAGTTTACCCTTGAGATCCTAGTGTGTTTGCAGTATCAACTGCAATTTTCACTTTCAAGGTATTCTGAAATTCTTTTCCTAAATGTTTGAACTCTAATAGTAACTTAAATCTGTAACTTAAATCCAACTAGGTCTTGAATAACTGCTGGCAGCAAGCACCTGGTTAGGATTTTGTCTTGGTTTTTCCTCCCTGCTTACCTTCTTCAAAATACTAAAATCAGCCAGAATAGTCTGAACTGAAGTTTAGACTGTAAGTAATGTGTTTAATAGGAAGAGGAAAAATAGATTATTTTAATAAGTGGATTAAAGAAGAATTAGATGTGGAAATCAGGTATTGGATGACCTTAAATATTTAAAATTGTGTGATGAGGCAAATACTAGTGGATAGATTATATTCCCCAGTGAGGATTTGCTTTTTAGTGTCTTGTATGTGCTCTGTGGTTTTTGAGTTTTGTTGGTTTGGGGTTTTTTTTTTTTTTGAACTACATGAGAGTTGCCAGTCTTGGTTCGTTGCATATTAGCATAGCTGCTGGATGTACACGTTAGAGTTGAATCACTTGTTTACCTGGTGGA